TCGTGTCTTCGCATCGCCAGTGCTGCCCCATGAGCCTGTCTCTGCGTGGCAGGAGGTGGTCTGCATTGCCCTCTCCCCTGTCATCTGGACACGTCCCCCACCACCGGGCCCTCCACGTTGCCCTCGATGCTTCCTGCTTCCCTCTCTGGAGCTGAGCTTTTAGTACAACGCCGCCTCAACTCTGGCTCGTTCTTGCAGACCAGGATTGGAGCCGTTTCTGAGGGTTTTTTTTTATTTTTAAATTCACTGCAGCTGGAGAAACTGAGGTGCAGCGGGGTGCAATGCCCGCAATTCCCGGGTTCGTTCCCAACCATTTTGCTCGGGTCTTCGCATCGCCAGTGCTGCCCCATGAGCCTGTCTCTGCGTGGCAGGAGGTGGTCTGCATTGCCCTCTCCCCTGTCATGTGTGATCTGGACACGTCCCCCACCACCGGGCCCTCCACGTTGCCCTCGATGCTTCCCCAGCTTCTCTCTGGAGCTGAGCTTTTAGTACAACGCCGCCTCAACTCTGGCTCGTTCTTGCAGACCAGGATTGGAGCCGTTTCTGGAACACTTCTCCTTACAGCGTGCACTTTCCTGTTTTCCCACGGGTTGCGAAATGCAAAGGATTTTTTCACTTTGCTGTCAAGATTTGGCTAGAGACTTGTTTACCAGGCCTGCAAAGCAGGGAAACCAGATAGTGCCATTTCTCTGTTACCTGCTCGGCTCGGGAGGCATGAAATTTGTTGTAATTTTCAGGAATAAGCCAAGTGGAAAGTTAACGGCGAGCGGGTGGGAGGTGTTTTGGCAGCCGAGGAGAGCGATGCTATGGGAGGATGCACCCTTGCAGTCTTTCTGCAGCTGTTTCGAGGCATAATTGGCATTTTGTACTAACAATGCTTCGGCTCGTTATTACGCCCAGAGGAATCTAAGGGAAACAGGGCGGCAGACTCGCTGGCTCGCCAGCTCCAGCGCGCCATCGCCCAGCGGAGCGGGCAGAGAGGAGCGATGGATGATGCCAAGCCGTGATGTCCGCTCATCCCTTAGCTTGCCGGCGCATCACTTCCCAGCCTTACCATCCCCGTTTCCAAAAAGCCTCCCGGCACAGCTCCACTGAAGCCAGGGGGAGGACAGTGGCTCCACACAGAACACAACTGCGCCCAGGAGGAGGAGGGAAGCATTAAACACCAACACGGTCATAAGTCACCCGGGTGCTTTAGGCTCCAAAATTAGATTTTGTCAACCTGGTGAAATGTTTTTATATATTCAATGTAAAATTTGACGGGAAGCCTTCCCAGCATGGACACGGCTGCAGGTTCAGACATTACACGAAGCAGGGCAGGGGATGCTCTCAGGAGAGGCTGTCCTGCTGTGGCGTCTGGGCCACGGGCATCATGGTAATAAGGTCCCTCCCTGGAGTCATCCTCAACGTTAAGGGCAGCACGGCTAAGAACATCATCATTTCTGCAGGTGTCTGGGCAAGGAGCATTTACACCCAGCAGCAGCCAAAGCAGGAAGGTGATGACCATGAGATGGCAGCAGCCAGGCGCTTCCCCTCCTCCAGGAGCACGGTGGGTGCTATCTGGAGGTCCAAGCCCTCTCCAGGGCTGCCAGGCAGGGTGTCCTGGTTTCGGCAGGGATAGAGTTAATTTCCTTCCTAGTAGCTGGTACAGTGCTGTGTTTTGGATTTAGGGTGAGAACAGTGTTGATAACACACCCATGTTTTAGTTGTTGCTGAGCAGTGCTTACACTAGGCAAGGACTTTTCAGCTCCCCGTGCTCTACCGACTGAGAAGGCTGGAGGGGCACAAGGAGCTGGGAGGGGGCACAGCCAGGACAGCTGACCCCAACTGGCCACAGGGACATTCCACACCATGGGGCGTCATGCTCAGCATATAAAGCTGGGGGAAGAAGAAGGAAGGGGGGGACATTCGGAGTTTGTCTTCCCAAGTCACCGTTACGCATGATGGAGCCCTGCTGTCCTGGAGATGGCTGAACACCTGCCTGCCCATGGGAAGCAGTGAATGAATTCCTTGTTTTGCTTTGCTTGCACGCGTGGTTTTTGCTTTACCTGTTAAACTGTCTTTATCTCAACCCACGGGTTTCCTCACTTTTACCCTTCCGATTCTCTCCCCCATCCCACCGGGGTGGGGGGGAGGAGTGAGCGAGCGGCTGGGTGGTGTTTAGTTCCCGGCTGAGGTTAAACCACAACACAGGGCCACCACCAAGCCACAGGGAATTTCAGGAACCGCTGTGGTCAGTAGGAGCGATCGTGCTCATCTCAGCATGTGTCTCAAGGGGTTTTATGAACACAGTGTGGCTTCACTTTGCGTCTCACCACCATACGGTGAAGTCAAGAGTCAGTCCATTTTACAAATGGGACAGCAGAGGTTCATGAACCTGAGCAGCTATTTCTGATGCTGTGCAGCATAGGCTGTGAGACGGTCCCTGAAGTGCCAATTTCCCAACGCTTACGCTGCCTTGGCAGTGCTGAGATCCAGAAACCAGAGCGCTATAATGCCAAAAACCACCCCTGAGCCCTACCCACAGCTCAGATAGATACAACCACCCTGTCAAGATCTCACCAGCCATGTGGTGGTGTCTCTTCCTCTTTGTCATAAACTTAAAACTTCAGCCTATTTAAAAGTTATCAATATATTGCATCTTCCCTATTACAAGAAACTCACAGTTTCCACAAGAATCATTTTGAAGGTGGGTATGCCTCAGAAAATCCAGCAGACAGTACCCACCCACCAGAAGAAGGAGGTCTTGGTGTATAGTCTTGGGTTGGGCTTGCCTTTCCCCAACCTTGGCACTACATTTAACTACTCCTTGGTCTTGTAGAGGGTCTGAAACAAATGAAATAGAGTTTTTTGCTCTCGCTTTAGGGTTCCATGAGAGCTGATAGAGCACTGAGGAGCACAGTGAGTCCCAAACTCCAGGCTGCTGTGCTTCTCAGTTGCTCTGCACTCGGATGCCACCCTACCCCAGCTGTGAGGTTGCAAGATCTCACCAAGTACACAACAACCGTGGAGGAACTCCATGTTTCTTGCTTGGGTTTTGGAGTGAACTTCTGGTCCATCTGCAAGGGCAAAAAGCTTTCCTGTTAGCCTTTGCAGAGGGAAAGTTTCACCCCTAAAATTGCCCATTGCTCTTTTTCTGAGACCTGGGCGGGCTCAGCTGGTCCTTCTACTTGAAGAAGACCACACAGGCCTCTTCTCCTCCTGCCATATTCCCGCACCGGGTGATACTGCTGAGCGTGGGTTTGCATTTACCATTTTACACCCCGAAAGTCATTGCGTCTTATTTTGATGAAATTACTCTCATCTCTGCAGGCTCACATGCTCAGAGTACCACAGGTTAAAAGCTGATCTCCAACAGCAACACAGCTGCTAATCCCACATGGAAGTTCAAAAGGGTGGTACTTACACAGGTTTTAGCTTCTTTCAGATACACGGTGGGCCAATTATTTTGCACCTGGTCTTTACAGATGACCTGGAAAGACAGAAGAAAAGCAACTCTCAAATTGTTGACGTAGGTTGGAAGGACAGTAGGTCACCACTACAACAGACTGCCCCAAGCCAGGAGACATCCCAATCAAAGCCCTGATCCATTTTATGGAAACGAGACACACCCGGGAGCCCTTCGCTCAACCCTTTATATGTGGAAAGGGTTTTCACAGGTAACTGACACGGTTGTCTGTGGGACGTTTGCTAATGCACTTCCCAAACCAGGCTTAGAATTTGCAGTACGGGTAAAGCAGGAATTGGCTCAGGCAGTAGGAAGATCCATGCCAGTGGGCCATGGTGTGGTCCTGCTCTACAAAAGACGAGCATCTTGAAACAGGATCCCCTTCCCTCCTTCCCAGCACTTCAGTTATCCTGGCTTGTGTTTTGAGATGCCCCTATGCTCCCAAACCATTTTCTGCTAATATCATCCATGAACGGTTGACGCTGAATTGTGGTCTTTGCCCTCTCATCATGTCCAAGTCTGCCCCAAGGCAGCTTCTGCTCTCCATAATGCTTCCCCCTCTCTTCCCAAATTTCACTTCTTCCCTGTTCAGCACCCAGACCATAATCCCCTTCACCTCCATCCTTCATGTCTCTTCACCAGAAAGCTATGGGAGAAAGGGGTTTAATCTAGAATTATTTTGCTGCCTTGTGTTTTCCTAAGGCAGATCTCTCTGACACAGACACGCACAGCAAGAAGGGCTGCAGGCTTTACATGTACGTGGGATGCCAGCTAAATATAAATAGACACCACTACGAAATGCCCACCTTCCCGTAGGCGTCATTACCTCATTTTGGAAAACGAATGACCCGTAGGCGTCATTACCTCATTTTGGAAAGAAGCGTTAGGGTGCTGGTGGCCAGGACTGCTGCTCGCCGTCTGGTCCCCCGGGACCGGGGCTGATGGCTGTGCGCTGGCAGGGCTCTGGTCAGCACTTGCAGGTTTGGTTGACACAGAGCTGGCGTCATGGCTCCTCTGGTCTGGGTCCCCAATATACAGGAAAAAAACAAGCAGAGAGACACTGATACAGTATAGAGGATACAGCTGACACAGGTTCGTTCGTGAGCAGCTGAAAATAAGTTTTCAGCCCTAGCCCTGCCTTGAAGCTCACTGTGTCAAAGCTTGGAGAGGCTTTGGGTTTCTTCTTCCTTTTTTTTTTTTTTTTTTTAAATTAACTGTGATGGTATTTTCTGCTGCTGAAACCCATCAGACTGTTCCGGAGAGACGAACCCAAAGGCCATGATGGCTGTGCGTTGGTAGCTGGGTCATCACTTAAAAAAGGAGTATTGCTGGGTAGATGGGATGGCCCTCATTTTACTTTACCTGGGGTGCTGTCCGTGGAGGTTTCTACAACGGAGGTAGACTATATCTGAGCTGGCTACCCAGGATCTCCCAGTGAATGGAGTTCATTGTGCAATCGCACTGACAACTGCAGCCACCTCCCTTAGGAGGGGATGAAATGCCATAACCTCTGTTGACTGCTTCTCCATCAGCTATGGAAGAAGCCCAGGGTGACGTGCTTACAAGTAGCGCCTGGTATTATGGGAGACAGCCTGGGGGTGTCCTGCCTGCCTGCTACTCTGGAAGGGCACATGCCCCACGTCTACCAGTCCCATGCAGGTGCCTCAGATACCCGAGATCATCTCAGACGCCTTTGTTAAGGTCTGTAGCACCCTACAGTTTCTTGTGCAATGGGAGTAGTGCAAGGAGCATAACAGCCTCCTGCCTCCCCAAACCCTTTTGAAGAAATGGATCTCCATCCCTGGGTTCCTAATTGATCCTTAAATGGCGACAAAGAGAATTAAAATGCCACATCTTGTTCTCAGCCTGTTTGCTTTTGGGACTCCTGCCTCTTCCACAGAAAAGGTGAAGGATATTTCTCTCCCAGACACATTCTGAAGGCTCCAGGAGAGAATTAATTTCAAAGCCATCTGTTTCTCTTGCATTCTCTCACCTATTTATGAAATGTAAAGGTTTTTTAAAACCTCTTCATGCTCAGTGCTTGAGGTCAAATTTGAATTAACATAATTTCATATATCATCCTTTAATGGGGAACAGTCCTGCGGAGCAGGAGGGGAAAGAAACATCCTTCACGAAGACACCCATTTCACCTCCTAATGCCTGCTGACGTGCCCAAAACATGACTTGGATGAAGCCAGTGAAGATGGTCTTGCATTAAGACCTCGGCCCATTTAGTGATGCTGACAGCACAGGGGAGCTGGAAGGCTGAGGGGGAAGGAGATGTTTTTTTGAGTGGCTTCTCTACTGCAGGTAGCTGGAAATTGGGTCAAGAACAACCTTTTCCAGAGGAAGACAATGAAGGGCTTCAGTGTCATCACAGCTTTTATTCAGAGCCAGATGTGAGCTGAACCTACAATCCCACCCAAGTCTGGAAGGCTCCGTGGAGCCCTCACAGTCCCACAGTGTGATTGCTTGACCGTAAACACTACCAGACAAAATGCCAAAGGGGACCCTAGACCGTGCCTCACCAGGACACTTATGAACTAACATGGCTCTATAAAGCTCCAGAGGTCTAGAGAAAACATATTAATGGTGTTCAGCAAGATCCTAAACACCACATGGACACTCATAATGCTGCTTAGACAGAAGTCTGCAGCCAAACTCCCCGCAGAAATGATGAATATCCTACCTAACAGCTTAGACTCTTTAGAGGTTGTAGACTCAGAGTTCAGCCACAAAATCTCCTTAGTCCTCTAAAGCTTATTTTGTATGCATACCCAGACAGCCTTCGCTAAGCTGTCAGCCATACTAGGGATCTTCTACAGTCAGCATTCAGGGTGCTGTCAATCTGTTTCACCAACCCTACCATGTCAATCTCCACCTCCAAACTCATCGCTGCTGGCTCCCTTTTGCAGTCACTGAAGATCGAGTCACTGCAGTTGATGGTGCTTCAGGCACAGTTTGGTCCATCTGAAAGCCGATGTCTACGCTTTGCCAGTTGATTCATGCCTTGCATTTCACTAACTGCATTGACTCGATCTCCACCAATGACAACAGGGACCTAAACACCCAGTTGTCATGGAGACAACTATGCTGGAAAGTCCTAAAACGAGACAAGGTGATGACACCCCATAATGACAGGAAGTGTTTAGGGTAGCCAAGGGGAAAGACCACAAAAGGGCCTCCCAACCCGAGAAATCAAGGTTCTCATCTTCTGGTACCTGTTCCAAGAGTCGGCGTGGTGGCTGCCTCTGAGACCTTGTTGACGCTGCCAGGTGGTAAAGACAGAGATGCTTTTCTAGTGGTGGGGGAGACGGATCCATCAAAAGGGGTAACAGAAGTGTCAATGCTTCCAGGTCTGGTGGAAGAGGCCAGTTCCTGGCCTGGAGAACTGGGAGAAAAGTGAGGCTGCTTGGTGACAGCTGTGGCAGAAGAGATACCGTAGTCCTTGAGCCCAGGGGAAAGGCTGCTCGTTAGGACTCCGGTGCTCGTAGCGGTGCTGGTCAACTGGTCCGAAGGCTGGCCTCCCTGAGCTTCCACGCTGGGAGGGGATGTGACAGCAGTCCCTAAACCTTCTGGGGTGGCTGGAGGGCTGCTCGCATGTGTGGGGACAGGACTTGCAGCAGTGGTGGCTGCCGAGCTTCCCAAGGTGGCTGGAGGGCTGGTCTTCTGCTGGGCCACACTGGAGGTTGCATCAGGGGTGGCTGTTGAGGCTCCGGAGCTGGTTGAAGAGCTGACCTGCTGAGACAGGTGGGGCGATGTCGTGGGGGTGGGTGATGAGTTTCCCGGGCTGCTTGTAGGGGTGGTCCCTTGAACAGTGGAGGGTGATATCACAGTGGAGGTCGGTGGGTTTCCTGGCTTGCTTGTAGGGGTGGTCCCTTGAACTGTGGCAGCTGACGACGTGGAGGTGGATGGTGGGTTTCCTGGCTTGCTTGTGGGGGTGGTCCCTTGCATCTTGCTGGTGTCTGTAGTTGTGGTGATCTGCCCTTTTTCTGTTGGGCTTGCAGGAGTTGTCTTTGTAACATCCTGAGAGCTGACACCTAGGGAAAAGTAAAAACGCCAAGATAAACTTTGAACGAAGGAAACTACCCTTGGTTTCCACCCTGAACAGGTATTTGTAGAAATAAATGCTGACCAGAAACCATGAGTCATTCGCTCAGGGCTTGTCTCATGCTCTCTAAACTCATACCAAATGCCGCATTCTGGTATCACCGTGTCAAGCAGAAAGCAGAGCAGAGGAGAAGGAGAAGTCAAGCTCACAGGACTTCAAAGGGGTTGGAGGGTGAGCAGGAGGGCAAGACCTGCTGGTTCCCAGAAGGCAGGCCTCCCTCAGATGGGAGGTGCACCAGCTCCCGTGCAGAACACTGCAAGTCATTCCCGAAATAAAGTACGTCCAGCCCTTGTAAGGGAGCAGCCAAGGGATGTGCCGAATGCTGTTTGTGCAACCCCGTTACGAGGGTCTCTCACATCCCTGAAGTGGAGAGGAGCCTCAGATAAATACGGTGACACTTCTGACTATTCTGAAAGTTATATTCTTTTTGCAAGCTCAAGCTTTGTTTCTTTAATTGCTCACGTTTCAACATAGGGTTTTTTCCCTCCCAAACGCAGATAATTGCTATAAAAACATCATAAAATAGGCGCTCTCGCTTGAATCCACAGAGTCAAACCATTGAGGGTAGTGAGGCAGTGGCACAGGTTGCCCAGAGAGGTGGTGGATGCCCCATCCCTGGAAGTGTTCAAGGTCAGGCTGGACGGGGCTCTGAGCAACCTGCTCTAGTTGAAGATGTCCCTGCCCACGGCAGGGGGGCTGGACTAGATGATCTTCAAAGGTCCCTTCCAACCCAAACCATTCTATGATTCTATGATTCTGTGAAAATTTATACACACTGAAATTCCCAGTTGGGTGATCTGCGGGAACAATATTTATTCTACTTGCTCTGAAAGAATGGGTCAACACTGGACAGAGTTTGGAAGTAAATACAAAAAGCATTTACTTGGAGCTGCATTATTTTAATTCTAAGGATGTTCAGTTCAGCTGCCCATTGCAAATGTTATCACCAATCTACGATCACATCCTTGTTTAGCTGATTATTTTACTATTCTGAAAAGCCTGAGAAAGTCACATAAAAATGTTTGAAGTCAGTGTTCACTTTCAAAGGAAAATCTTAAAAAAAAATCGAAGGAGGCATTTAGGAAAAGGAGAAGCAAGCCAGGAAAACGAAGGGCTCCACCTACACGTACCACGCAAATCCTTAACGCCACCACCTGAACCATGAAATTCCCATGTGTTTTTCCATGGTCTTTACCCTGCATTTGTACATCACATAGAAATGCTACTTTTATCATGGCTTATTTGTTTTTGAGGAAATCCATGAAGTATTTCACTGAGAGCTGACATTACCTAAGTGGGAAAAAAGCTCGGTCTCAAAGCAAAGAGGGTTTTCCATTGCTCAGTTATCTCACATTATCGTACATAAGGAGGTCTGCAGTTGGTTTCTGAAGAATACTTTAAATTTTCAAATTAGGAAGCTGTTTGTGAGTGAGGGATGCAGCTGAAGGACAGCTTGCCTGACAAAAGATTGCAACATCCCGCAATGCTAAAACATGTTATATTCGCTACCGGACTGGATATAAAAATTTGGGTCCGTTTGTCTGTTTGTAATCACTGCAGGAGCTCCATCAATTGCCACGGAGACAATTTCCCCCCACTGCACATGGTAACCACCAGCTCTGGGCTCTTGCTCAAATTCACCCCAGGAAAGGTTCGACCAATTTTTCACCTTTCAGGAACTGCGGGCTGCACTGAGCCACTTCATCCGTGGATCTGTCTGGAATCAAGACAACAACCTGATTTGGGGTGGGTTCTTCCATTTGACGACCGTGCAGAAGAGGGCCATTTTTTTGCCCCATGAGGCACTTGTGTATTATTTCCAACCCTCCAAAACAGGAGTCACGTGTCCAAGGTTTGAACTTTAGCCATATCCTAATGCTGCTCTCCAGAGATCTGCTTTGTTCCTCCGTGCTGGCATACTGGCAAAGTATTTTCTCTTACAGAGCCTGTTTATTAGCACTGGTTGTGCTTCAAAGATCTGATGAAAGCTTGAGCTTCTGAGACTCATACCGCTGGGGAAATCTAACCCCACCACACCAGGACCCCAGGGGGATGTGGAGGTATGTTTGAGGCAGGACCTGGGGAGTCAGATTTGGGATGGGGAGGCTGCAACACTACATCTGCGGGAAAAGAGCTTTTGTGGAGATAAGTCATATTTCCTATAGACTGACCACTGTCTGCAGCAGCAGCAGAGGTAAGGAAGCAAAACACAGGCACGGGCACCTAGCAGATGAAACCCAGGTGCAAAAGATAGCAGGCAGTTTTCATCCAGTTAGCCACAAAATGGGTCTATCCCATAAATAGGGCTGTAAAAGTTTGACGGGGGTTTTGACAACAAGGGAGGTAAAAAAAAAAAACAACCAACCCCTAAAGGTAGAAACAAGACAAAAGAGAGGTAAATAAAGAAAGGGTTGGAAGGAAGGCGGAGGAAATCCCCGACTGCTCTCGCTTCCTTTTCGTGCCCGGGCCCCGTCCCAGAGAGGCAGGAAGCAAACACGCACCAAAGGAGAGGTAGAAAAGACAATTCAGTTCAACTCGGTCCAAAAGAGAAAGGGGCAGGCCCACGCTTTGGCTCTGGGCCAGCCCCGGTGGCCAGCCGGGACCCCGCGAGCCAAGAAACCAGCATCCCTGCCCCAGCACTTTCCCGTCCCACCCCGGGGAGCTGCAGCTAAGTTTTTTGCCACTTTTAGCAAAAATTGGGGGGAAAAAGCCCAAAGCAAGGGCTTGCTCTGCTGATGGAGAAAGCTGGTGTGATCCTCCAGGCTTGCCCTGGCTGGGGTGGCAGTAAGGCCTCTTTCAAGGGACACAGGGTGACACAGCCCAAAAAAGCAACTGGGAGAAGAACCAAGACTCAAGTTGATGCCCACAAAGCTTACTAGTATTTTATCTTTCCGTATCTCTGCATCCACTCTTAGTGCTCCTCTCCTGCTAAGGTCAAGAGATGTTAAAAGATCAATTTATTCTTCCTCATTAAGCCAGGACCAGTCATGAATAGAAACATGCAAGGTCAGGCTGGACGAGGCTCTGAGCAACCTGCTCTAGTTGAAGATGTCCCTGCCCACGGCAGGGGGGTTGGACTAGATGACCTTTAAAGGTCCCTTCCAACCCAAACCATTCTATGATTCTATGATTCTATGATTTAAGTGGGCTCAAACAACTTGAGGAGCCAGCACACTCCTGCTTGGAAGTGGTGAGCCACCATACAGGGGGATGGGTGGGTGGGTGGATGGATGGATGGATGGATGGATGGATGGATGGATGGATGGATGGATGGATGGATGGATGGATGGATGGATGGATGGATGGATGGATGGATGGATGGATGGATGGATGGATGGATGGATGGATGGATGGATGGATGGATGGATGGATGGATGGATGGATGGATGGATGGATGGATGGATGGATGGATGGATGGATGGATGGATGGATGGATGGATGGATGGATGGATGGATGGATGGATGGATGGATGGATGGATGGATGGATGGATGGATGGATGGATGGATGGATGGATGGATGGATGGATGGATGGATGGATGGATGGATGGATGGATGGATGGATGGATGGATGGATGGATGGATGGATGGATGGATGGATGGATGGATGGATGGATGGATGGATGGATGGATGGATGGATGGATGGATGGATGGATGGATGGATGGATGGATGGATGGATGGATGGATGGATGGATGGATGGATGGATGGATGGATGGATGGATGGATGGATGGATGGATGGATGGATGGATGGATGGATGGATGGATGGATGGATGGATGGATGGATGGATGGATGGATGGATGGATGGATGGATGGATGGATGGATGGATGGATGGATGGATGGATGGATGGATGGATGGATGGATGGATGGATTCATGGATTCATTCAACGGGTGCTGACCATGCGGGCAGGTAGGACACTATCCATCCTACTACATGGGCCTGGCTGAGGTCAGGCGATGCTAAGTGCCACAGAGGTAGAAATCACTCTCCTTTGGTGGCTAATGACCTGCACTCCTTTGGCAAGTGGCCACACAAATGATATATGAGCCAGAAAACACTTCACCACACCATTTCCTCCCTACAAACCCGCTCCTGCTGTATCGGGCTGGATGGGGCCACTGGGAAGCCCTTTGCAAAAGATCTCCCGTCCCAAACTTGATCTGAAGGTGACATTTCTTTAATAACCTCCACCCCAGCTCAGCTGGGCTGCTACCAAATTTTCCCTTTCCCCCTTTCTTCTTCCACAGCTTGCTTGTCTCAAAGCAGACTATTTTGAAGAATTATTGTTGCTGGCTGAAATGCAATGGCTGTGGTGAACAGCAGCCACGGAGATGGCCACGGGGAAGCAGAAATCCAGGCAGGTTGCAAACTTGACACTCTTCAAGACAAGGTGCACCACCACAGGCCAGACCCATAACACACCAGCGTCGAGCAGCGCGGCTACGGCTGGGTGAGATCCTCCTTCCACGGAGGATCGGTACCCCTCTCCATCCCCACCTGTCCTGCGGATTTTTGGGCACCCATCTGTCAGCGAAAATTACCTTCTCTCTCCAGTGGCATTAAACTAAACTGTTTTCTCACCGCTGTTGCACAAGCAACCAGGTGCTGCTGCAGTCGCGGGGCTGCACACCTTTCTGCAGTTTTATTGCTCCGGGCTTAATATTAGTTGTTTGTCCAGGGACTCTGTCTCACTGCAGCATTGGGAAAAAAATGTATTTTATTTAGACCGGGGAAAAACAAATTGCATTTTTTTGGTGTCTTGCAGGTTCATCGCCCGCAGAAGACCTGGCTTACGCAAACTCATTGCTCTCAGTTTCAGAAGCCTAGCAAATACTTAATTCCAAAACAGAACAAACAGCGAGAGCACCGCAAGCCCAGGAGTCACCGTTTTCCTTCCACATGTGCTATATCTCTTTCAAAAG